TCAGTATATTCCTTCCATCTTTTTTTAATACTTCCGGGATCATTTAACGTTCTGCCGAAAGCATCCTTGATTATAGCAACTCGAGGTTTGAATTTGTTCTTCAGTTCCTTGAGCTTCAGATATGCTGAGTGAGTTCGGCCCTTTTGAATGCTAAGTCATAGCAGAGAGAAATGTTTTATTTGAGGGCCCTGGATGAAGCTAAAAGAGGATTCTTTTTGGGCTCCAAATCTATAAACCTTCAGAAGGAGCTCAGAACAGACAGAGTTGCTTTTAGAAGAAGTAAAAGTAGAGTAAGCTTGGGGGCCACCACTCAGCTGCCCATTTGTCACACTGTTGTGGCTTGTGTGTCACTCTGCCACCAGGATCTCAAAAACCAGCAGGATCCCCCATGGCAGGCCGGTTTCTGAGGGACTTCTAGATTAAGAGTAGGAAGAAAGGCCTGGCAATCTGGTATTGAAAATTAGTTAATAAAAGCTAGCTAGATTGCAGACTATTATCTGAAATTTCAACTCCCTTGCTTTGGACATATCATCAGGAAGAACCCATAGATGGAGAAACACTACATGTTTGGTAAAGTGGAAAGCGAAAGGCTCGATTTGGATGTTTTGACAAAACAGCAAGAAGAATGGACTCAAACACTCCAACAACCATGAAGAGGGTGCAAGGACCAGGCAACATTTCATTCTCTTACATATGAGATTATCACACAACAGAATCAACTAATGGCTAACAACAAAGGGGGCAGAATGTTCACAAAAGTCCAACAAATTAAAAAAAAAAAAAAAAAAAAACAGAAAGAAACTCCAGGGCTCACATGGATGAATGAGATCATGTAGGACATCTTCTTCCAACACAAAATTATAAAGAAGATACATTTCTTTTTCTTTCTCCCTTTTCTCCTGTTCTCTTTCCAGGACCATCTCAACACACCAGGACCTATCACGCTCCAGTTAGTACACCAGTGCAATCAACAGCACTTCTAGGAACACTAATCCAGAGGAAAGAACACTAATTCCCTTAACAGACATCTCCTCCTTCTTTACCCCATAGTTTGATCATTGTGACAGTTAATAAATACCAAATATTCCCTAAGGGAATCCCTAGTCACAGGGCTTAAAGCAGAAGAAATAAATCAAATTCCTCCTGCCACCAGGCAAAAATCTGTAAGTGTGAAATTACAGAGACAGCATAGTCCTTGTAGTTGTTATGTACCATATTCTCTCTCCCCCAGAGTAGCTGTTGGGTTTGAACTGTAAGCCTTTGGAGTTATATAGCACAGCTTCTTACTACTAGACCACCATTGCTCCCTGCACAGTACAGGGAGTTTCATTACTAACTCAAAAGTCATGTCTCTCTGGTGGCTCAAATCTACCAGAGACTCCGAGGGAGAAAGATGGTCAGTCTTCTCCCTTGTGGGCTTACAGCCTCTGAAATACAATGAAGGGGTCAACTTTAAGTCTGTTCCAATTGGAAGGCAAAGAGTGAGTGTGTCCCATTGTAAACAGTTGCCTGGAATAACGATGTTCCCCAGTTGCCAAGTCTTTCAAAATTTCAAGAAAAGGCAACAGCCCTGCTTTTTATATGAAATCTCCTGGCAAAGTTGAAGTCATGTACATGCTAGTTTTTGCCTTTCCCAGTGGAAAGCACCAGTCTGTGATCTTGGGCCAAAGCTTAGGTGATCTTTAGGGGCCTCATATAAATTATAAGTGGTGCCCTGCCGTATTCCCACAACCAGGAAAAATGATAGATTTAAGGGCCCGTGCTCCTGCAGGCCTCTGGTCACCTAAGGGATCCTGCCTTTTATGAGAAATACTTCTCTCCTGAATGTGATTTTTCTGGCCTCTGTAAACACTTCTCCAGCTGTGTGGTCTATGATCTCAAGTGGCCTGAGAGATGGGTGCAGTAGGTGCAGTGTGTTCCTAGGGTGCCTGCCTCCTCCTCTGAGCAGCACATCTCAGGCCCATCTGCTCCTTTTTTCCTGGGTGGTTGCTTTTTCTTCTGAAACTAGGCAGCCAGAACCCAGTCTTTGTGAGGGTATCTACTGTTAGAGGAGGAAACTACGAGGTAGATGTTTTTCCTAATAAAACATGCCCACAATCTATTGTAACAAACAATTGTTGTTTGGTGCTATCAACTTGACTATGACTCATAATGATCCTCTGAACAACATCAGTGAACCTTGTCCTATTCTGCACGATCTTTATGATCTCTGCTATGCTCTAACTCACTGTGACTGTCACTATCTTGTGAAGGGCGACCCTCTCACCCTTCACCTCTCCTAACTTGATGTCCTTTTCCAAGGACTAGTCCTTCATAGTCAACATATGTGAGATCAAACTTCACCATCCTTGCCTGTAAGGAATGCCCTAGTTACACTTCCTCCAAGACAAACATTTGTTTGTTCTTTTGGCAGTACATGGGATATCCAACATCACAACAGAAAGGCATAAATTCATCTTTGGTCATCCTTACTCACTGTATTTACTGTCTAACTTTCAGATGCATAAGAGGTAACTGAAAAGACCATGACTTGAAGCAGATGCATCTTAGTCTTTAAAGTGACATCATTGCTCATCACTTAGTTCCTGTTGTTTTCCAAGCAGAATCTGCTTTAAGCTGATTCCTTAAGCATGCACAGAAACACCACTCATGAGACCAAGAGTTGATCTTTCCAAGCAGGACATAAAGCCATCGATCAGACAGAGGAATAGAATGAGAGGACTTTGTTACACAGGGCATATACACCCTGACAGCATACACACCATCCTACAATACGTGATGTTTCTTGACCCAGAAGCCACTGCAACAGCATCTACTTTGAAGCAACAGTCGTACATGCACTTAATTATCACAACCTCTCCTATAAGGGCCATTTCCAGCAATTGCTCAACTCCCTTATGAATAAAACATGTAACCTATATACCTAAATCTTTGTGATCTAAACTATGAGTGCTTCGTTTCCCCTACGTCTCCTCCCTTTGGAAAATAGTTTTATTCTGCAAAGTAGTAAACTTTCTATGGTTGAATACAGAAGCCTGGACTTTGCAAGATGTAGAATCCAAATTTACAGAGGACACTAGAGACACTCGCTAAGCACCTATAAAGGGCGATCTTGTTACATTTCTCCCGCTCTCCGTTCCTAGGCCTCTCATCTCATTCTTTTTTTTTTTTTTTTCTCACTTCTCACTTCTTTTTTTCATTCGTTCTCTCGTTTTTCCCTTATGCTCTCTCTCTCCTCTCCACTGATGACACTCTCTATTGCTCTCTTTCTCCTGGCCTTCGAACCCACTCGTCTCTCCTCCCTGTTCCAGCGCCCTGGTACTGCAGGTGCTGGCTCACCAAGAATACACCAACACCGGCTTCGAGTACTTCTTGTGATGGGAGCGGAGAGTGAGCGAGCCCTTGCGTTCCAGCAAGTCGGGGGGTCCGATCTCCAGACAGTACTGCTTACTGCTGCACCAGTCCTCATAGGAGCTGACCATGGCCGCCCTCGGGTTGGACTGCAGAGGATCTCCTCCGCCCCGCGCTGCCCCAGCTCAGGATTCCGAGGCTCCCCATCTCCTAAGCAACCTTGGGCGGGGTCAATGGAGGGGCGGGGTCCGTGGACGGGGCGGGGTCAATGGAGCCCTCCTTTCCTGAAGTGAAAGCTCAAGAAGAGAATCACTGGTGCAATGGCTCAACAGGTCGACTGCTAACCGAAAAGGTTCGTGATTCGTATCTATCAAGAAGACATGGCATTCCCCTCGCAGAGATAGTATAGCATTACTAAACGTATAGCATAGTTCTACCCTGTATGAGTCGCTATGAGTGGAAATAGACAAATAGATTACCAGGAAAGTTTGCCTTTTGGGTGTTGAGAAACTGCATTTCCCATAATGTCTTGGGGACGCGGCAGCATCACAGAGATGGGAGAGGGGAGATATGCATCCTGGGATTTGTAGTTTCTCTGCCCGTGAGCGTCTTCCTCAAGGCTGAGCAGTTAAGGGTATTCAATGCAAAACTAAAGGAATATAAAAGTCAGAACAGATGTGTTCAGGCGACACAGGCAAGAGTTCTGTTTTCCATTCCTATTCTGTTGCCTCCACACCTTCTGCTTGCAAGGCATTTGAATTTGATCAAAAGGAAGCAAAACCAATTTCCAAAGACTAAAATATGTCACTTCTGTTGTTATTATGTGCCATCAAGTTGACTGACTCATAGTGACCTTATGAACAATGCTTCTGAACCACACCCTATCCAGAGTCAACCTCACTGTCTGACACGCTTGACCTCAATGCCACAGTCACTGTGTCAATCCATCTCATCCTGGGTCTTCCTTTCCTGCACGGACCCTCTACTTTTCCAAGCATGATGCCCTTCAATGACTGGTCCCTCCTAACAACATGCCCAAAGTATGGGAGACAGAGTTTCAAAATCTTTACCTCTAAGGAGCAACCAACCCAGTTTCACCCTCTCCAAGACAAATATATTTGTTCTATTGGCAATCCATTGGTATGCATGTTCAGCACAATATTGAAAAGACAATGCAAATATATGTCATTGCTGTACAGCTTTCCTACCTGAGAAAAAATAATTTTCTCATACTTTTTTGGTGGTTTCAGATGCATATAAAAGTTAAGTTTCCTTTCCATTGTACACTATTAAGTAGCAATGTTGTTGTTGTTGTTTTTATGTGACCTCAAGTTGGAACTGACTCATAGTTGACCAGTGGGTTTTCAGAGGCAGTAAATCACACTAAGGGAGATTGCCCATCTGTATCTCTCAGAGCAGCAGGTGGATTCGAACCAAGTGATTTTGAGCTGGCAGCGCAGCTCCTTGCCACTAGCCACCAGAGCTCCCTAAGTGTGCAACGGCATTAAGGAAAAGGTTTGAAATCTTGCAAAAATCACACAAAAAAAATGTGACATAGTCAAAAAATGAGCTCACTTTGTTAGGAAAATGGCACTAATAGACTCACTGGATGCAGGGTTGCCACAAGCCTTCAATTTGTGAAAGAAAGAAGTCTGTGATGCCCAGTGAAGGGAAGCGCATTAAAATGAGTTGCTCCAAAAAGAAGGCCATCTTTACTGTCATCTGTTTGTTTGTCTGTTTATTTTACTTGTGCTTAAAGTGGTGGCAACATCGTCTCAGTGCAGACAGGTTTCTACAGCTGACATCCCCGGGAAGGAAGCGCCCAGAGCCAACTGCGCAGTGCACCGGTGCTGCCGAGATGTAAAGGCTTTGACAGCACACCAAGCAGAGGTACCAAACAAACAGCTTGTCACTTCAGACTTCCCTAAGCCAAATAAGTTGTCAGGCTCTTTGAATCTGCAAAGATGATTTTTGTTGTACTCTTTTCCCCTCTTTATTTCAACTCTCTAAACTTCATTGTCTTCTGTGTTGTTTGAAGAGTTTTCAACATCTCCGTGTACAAAAGATTAACTCTCTGGTCACCTCAAGTTTAGATGCACTCCATTCACTTTGTATACATTGCTACATTCTATGTCATGTAGAGTTTGTTGACCTTTCATGGATAATACGGAAATAAAACAGTACTTATCACAGGAAGGTTTTTTGAGAATTAAATAAAGAATGCATTGAATGCACATATAAAAAAAGTGCCTAATAACAGATCACAAACCCTCAAATTTCTACCACTCTGATCACATTTCATATTCTTTAGGCACATTATCTGGAGGCATCAGTACCTGCGGAAGGACATGTAAAGTAGATCTCATTACCACTGATTAGGAAGTGAATCATTGTCCACCCTCCAGTAGCTCTTCAGAAATTGTAAATTGCCTGAAGTCAGAGTAGCTAATGAATTTAATTAAACCATCTATCTGCCTTTGAGTTAGAAGTGCAACTGCTAACCCACTGGGCCACCAGAGCTCCCTGGGAAAGTAGAAGGTTGGCCAAAAAGAGGAAGATTCACCAGGAGATGGATTAATACAGTTATTCCAACCATGGGCTCAAATATAGCAATGACTGGGAGAATGGTACAGGATGAGGAAATGTTTCACTCTATTGACCCGTTCTAATTGTTGTGTGCTGTTGAATCGAGCTTGAGTCACAGACCCTTCAGCAGGTTTTTAGAGGCGGTAAATCGCACAGGAAATTGCCTACCCTTCTGTGGAGCAGCTTGTAGATTCAAACCACGTGTCTTTGGGAGGGCAGTGCAGCTTCTGACCACTAGGCCAAAGCTCCCTGTATTGTACTTAGGGTCGCTCTAAATTGGAACCAATTCAACAGCACCAGTGCTAGTTTTGTTATTGTACCCTTACTTTGCCCTTAACAATTGGCAGAAGTACTCTAAAACACAGTGGTTGGTTGTGTGGTATTTTCTAAATAAACTCACTTTTTCAAGCATTACCAATGCAGATCTTTTCAGTGAATATCTTTTTAGCATAATTTAACATGACATTTAATAATCTGAATAAGAAAAAGATTGGCAAGATATTTGGATGTGTTGCCATTGATAATAAAGGCTCTGTGAAACCTTTCCTCTACAAAACCATTAGTAGTAAGCTTTATGCATTAGGAATGTGAAGTCATGGATCTTCAGCAGGCTTGAGTCATTCCTGTGTTCCTTACACTTCATGAAACCAAGAAAATGAAGTGTTGAGAAATGATGACTTGTAATAATACTAACTTCTTCCTCCCCTCCAACTCACCCCTGCACCCCAACCAAGCCCACTCCCTGATGTCCTTAGGTGGGAACATTACAGTTAGGTTGGCTGAAACAAAACTTTGCTGTGGGCTAAATCTTTTCCTTTAACTATTCATAACTGCCAGTGCTCTTTCTCAGGATGGTTTTCACTTTGAGTATGATTTTTCTCAGCTTCTAATTTGGATTGTAAACCAATTAGGCATTGGTTGCTTTCAAACAGTTGTCATTAACCAGTATTTTTTTTGAGTGCTGGCATGCAATGGAATTGTTTCTGGAATGCCTATTACAAAGGAGACTTATTGATTAAATATTCAACATAGACTGTTCTATAATTTACCATTTCCTCTGTGGTGATAGCCAACCCAGCGAATAAGGAAAACTCTGGTAGAATTGTCAATAACTATTAAGATACTCTGGCTACACTTCCTCCCAGACAGACTTGTTTGCTGATTGGGTAGTCAGTCCATAGGTACTTAGTACTCTTTGCTAACATCACAATTCTAAAGTATCAATTCTTCTTTGTACCCCATTTGGGAATGTTTTCCTTGTTCTTCCACAATGTGCACTTAATGTAATTTTCTTTTTAACAGAGTTTTCTCTGATTACATTCTCTTAATCCAAGCAACTTTGGATTTAGTTAGCTTAACCCCTACGCTTCTTCAGTCGCCCTTATTCATTGTTCAGCTTTCATATGCATGCTGTTGTTGTTGTATGCCTTCAAGTTGGAACCTACTCATAGCTGACCCTCCAACAGTTTTCAGAGGTAATAGTATGGGAGGAGATTGCCCATTGCTTTCTTCCATGGAATAGCTGGTGGATTTGAACCACATGCCTTTGAGGTTGTAGTGCAGCTTCTTTGTACTAGGCCATATAAAACAACTGAAAGTACCATGGCTTGCATCAAGCATGTCTTAGTGTTTAAACTAAGGTATTGTTGTTTAGCACAGTGTGCTCCTTAGATATAAAGATGATGAAATGTAGTCTCACATACTTTGGGCATGTTGTCAGGAGGGGCTAGTCCTTGGAAAGTGATAACATGCAAGGAAAAGTAGAGGGTCAGAGAAAAAGAGAAAGATCCCCCACAAGATGAATTGACACAGTGAATGGCTCAAACATGTTGGAGATCATGAGGAATGAGCAGGATAGGGCAAGTTCCAGTTGGATGTTCACAGGGTCATTATGAGTCATAATGGCCTCAAAGGAACAAAACAACGTTAGAGTGTTAATGCCGTGGGTTGCTAATGAGATAGTCTAACAAGAGTGTAAATTAGAGGTTTCTTTGATATCCTACCAAGTAGATGATCATAATTAGTCAAAGACTGAATATCCACTTTACAATTGTCTTGAGTCTCTCTTCTTTCACTCCTGTACTGTTCAGCATTTGGCACCTTCAATGTTTGTTAAGAGGAAGAAAGAGACAATTTAGCTGTAGCTCTTGTTAAAAAGGAGCTCTACTGGCCAGTTGCTCCACTGGAGAAGGATGGGCAATCTCCTTCCATGCATTTAACAGCTTCTGAAAACCCACTGGAGGGTCAGTTTCAACTCAAGGGCATAGAACAACAATAACAACTTGTAAAGGACTTAAAGCTTAAATGTAATAGTGTACTTTATTTGTTTCTCATGGTCTTTAATCTGGCTAAAGGACCTTTTTCTCTTGGGAAAGATGCTCAGAATAAAGGAGAGATTTGAACTGCTTTCTGCTGCTATTGGTGAACATACCCGTCCTCCCCACCAGATTCACCCCTAGCTGCAGAGTGAGTCCTGAGGAGGAACTGCCTGAGAGGCTTCCTCTAGAGGGCCAAGTATGAGCACGTAAAGGGAGCATATTGGGGCGGCCATATCTGACCTTTACCAACTTCACAAATAGGAACCGTCTCTGTCAACAATCTCAATAACACAAAACCAATTCCTATGAGGTCAGAGTTGCTCCCCATGCTCCCATACCTCTTTCTATTCATTTCAAAACTAATTTTTCTGTGTTTATGGGTCTAAAATCCAATGCAATAGTTCACAGACCACTCAGAACCAGGTTAGGGAAGTCAAAAGGTTATAATCCAGGCTAGTAGAAGAATGCAGTCAAGACAGATCCTGAATATGCATGAAAGCACCTCAGCCTCAAGCCTTGCAGCTTTAGGCCAGTGTTCCCAAGTTCTCAGTCCTGCCAACATTATCTTTCCACCCCTAATTATCCAACAATTTCTCAGTCCTGCCAATATTTGCTCTCCCACCTAAGGTCCCATCTCACATCAGGTATCCAGTTAGGCCATTGCTGTTTGCTGCCATAGGCATAGCTGGAGCAAGAAGGGTGTTCTACATTCTCCTGCTGCTTCTTCAATGGCAAGGGAATGTCTCTGTCTCTCATAGCTGTCCTTCTCAATTCAGTGGTGGGACTGGCCAGTCCCTTGTGGAATGGTAGATAGCCAATTCCCTTGTGGGTAGGCTAACATGCCCTATTCACATAGTCTCATCCATCCACGTGATTGGTGACATTTACATGGCTAGGAAAGTCATATTGAAAGATAAATTCCACAGAGCAGATGTTTTTGGTTGTTGAATAAGTCAAGCCCAGTGGTGAGGATATCTTTAGTCACTAATCTTGGAGTAGGGGCTGGAAGGCTCAGGGAAGAATCTGGAAAACATCCTAACTCTGAAGATATTGTATGGTCTTTGCATGGTTTTTCATTTCCCATGTTCAGCTGTTATCTGTCATATCTGTAGTGCTTAGCTCCTCTGTTAAACAAGCCTCTTTCTATAGTATCATTCTTAGGTTGCTTCAGAGCTGGAAAGTTAAGCTGTCAGAATAAGGGTAGACCTGAAGGCGACTAAACTCTGGACTTTGGGAATGTGTAGTAAACGCCTAATCAGTCAGTGTTGGGGTTCAAATTCAACTCATTCTACAGCAATAACTGGCTGTTAGGAACAGCCTCTAATCTTTTTAACATATTCTTGATATGAGTATTTTTGTGTATCTGGGTCTTAGCTCATGCCAAACAGTTGATGCTAACGATGTGACCTCTGATGAACTCTTATTTTTGTTTTCCCTGTATTGGTTTGGTCTCAGGGAAGCCTAGAGGTTGGGTACTATCTTAGTTTATCAATACCATATAGCAGAGATATCACAAGTAGAGAATTTAAAGGAACATAGGTTCATTATCTTATCATTTAAGAAGCTAGGAGTCCAAGTTCAGATTACCAGTTTAGGAGATAGCCCTCTGTTGTAAAGAAGTTTTTGGTTTCCTTCAGCATCTATAGGCCCCAAGCTCCCTGAACACTCCCATGTGTACTAGTCTTCCATTGTATCAGGGAGCTTCATCAAACAGAGATTCAGTTCCAAAAAGATGCACCTACTCCTGGTGATTATTCCTTGATGGTATTAAGGGTTCTTCTTTCTTTAATACTGGCATTAAAAAAGTATTACTGATCACATCCTACGAAAGCATGCCTTAGGGTTGTGATGAGATTAGGGAGTGTTGTAGTCTACCCCTAACCCTCCTACACCTATTTGATGTATCAAGATCATGGGTGATAAGTACATCACTCTCACATTACATCATTATACACATGTATTTTGGGGGAGCACAATTCAATCTATGACAAAATCTCTCATGGATGACAAGATTCTGGTGAGCTTCCCTGATTGGCAATACTCAATGTGTGTTGTCACACCTTGTTTTAGGGTGATGTGCACTGTCCATGTGAGAAGACACCTGATAGCTTGCTCCTGGTCTCTTCCAGACTCTACATTACCTGCCTGTTACCTTCACTGATTGTGATCTGCATCCTTTTCCTGTTACAATCTATAGTTATGAGTTTAACAGTAGAAGGTCACTCCTTCTACCAAATCATTGCACTGGAAGCTGGTCTTGGAGATCCCTGAAAACTATGGCATCTTTTTTTTTAAAAAAGGAATTGAAGATTTGGACTATAAATTTTCAAGACTAAAGATGACTTTAGATCCTTACCACCAATTGTTTGACTATTTAGTGTATTTCTTGATATTTAGGTCATGTTTCAAGTTGTAGAAAGGAAATTGAGTTGTTTGTTTTCGTAGGAAGCTGAAAATATCTATCACTTAACAGGTAGTGTGTTATGACCAGGAGTTTTATGGACCAGATGCTGTGCTCTGGGAACTATAATGGTGAATACACCATGAACACTTCCCTCTGGTGAAACTAAAAGCAGAAATAGCTTTACTCTTATTATTCTCTCACTTTGGCTGCTCCTCTCTCCCTTCAGGGCTCACTGAGCAGCTTCTAGTTCTGCCATGACTGAGGAAAGAAGAGACATAAAGAAAGATAATGAGAATCTGATTGATAACCCAAATACAAAATGGGCAAAAGACATAGAATTTTCACAGAAGATATTCGAATGGCAAACAGACATATGAAGAAATTATCAAAATCACAGGCAACAAGAGAGATTCAAATCAAAACCACAATGAGGTACCATCTCACTCTAGTAACAGTGGCAAAGTTTAACTAGGCAGCAAGTAATAAATTTTGGAGAGGATGTGGTGAGAAAGGAACTCTTATACATTGTTGGTGGGATTATAAAATGGTACAACCATTCTGGAAAGCAGTTTGGTGCTTCCTCAAAAAGCTGAGTATAGAAATTCTATATGACCCAGTCATTCCGTTACTTGGCATACACCCTGAGAAAACAAGAACTGAGGCACAAACTGATATCTGTACACCAATGTTCAGAGCAGCATTATTCACCGTCGAAAGAACATGGAAACAGCTCGGATGTCCAACCACAAACGAATGGATTGAGAAATTACAGTACATTCACACAAAGGAATACTATGCAGCATACAGGAGCAGTGATTCTGTAAATTATTACTGAACTTGGGAGGGACTGGAGAACATTATGCTGAGTGAAATAACTCAGTCCCACAAGGATAAATATTGTATAAAAGCCATTATTGTAGAATGAGTATAAGGATTCAAGAGAGGTGGCAGAAGTTGGCAGCAGAGGGATGAGGACATGTGGGGGGTGGTTTAATCATGGAGTTGTACAATTTGTTGGGTAGGGGAATGAGGGAAATGGAAAGAATTTGTTCTTGAAAACAGTGTATTTGAATTTAGTAAATAAACTAATTGTTTTTGTTGTTAAGTGTCATCGAGTCATAGGCAACTCATAGCAACCCTTTAAAAAAAAAGATCTGGACACTTGTGAAACTTTCATCCTTTCTCCAGGTTCATAGGGTTTCCAGAGGCAAGCTATTCAGGAAATGGATGCCACTCCTGCTTCCTAGCTTGTTTTAATCAGGGAGCTTTACCAAACACTGTCCACCATGGGTAAGTAACCATTATTACATTTGACAGATAAAAAAAACAAAAACAAAAACACCCAAACATTCCGCAATGACCCTCAACCAAAACAAGAGAGCCAATCTTACAGAATCTAGTCGCTCCACCCTGTTTTTAATGGAGACAAGGCCTTGGCCTTAAATTCAAGTGTCCTCCTCAGGGTCTTATTGACTCTAAACACGAGGCTTAAACAAAGAAACAATCTACACAGACCCTCAACCAAAACAAGAGTGCCATCATACAGCGTCAAGCCAATGGAAGTCCAAAATGGAAGATAAGGGCTTTGTAATATGTATTGTTGTTGTTGTTAAATGCCATCTATTAACCCCATAAACAAAAGACTTGAACTTTGTTCTGTAACTATTGTCCTTCTTCCAAGTTTATAGAGTTTCCACAGGCATGTTTAGGAAGTGGATGCCACTCCTGCTTCCAAGACTGTCTTAGTCTGTTAGCTAACCAGATATTGTCAAACATGTATAACCATTATGGCACTTGGCAGACCAATGGCACAATGTTCAGTATCACAGCAATCCATAGGGAAATGACAGAAGAATGCTGTAACACTTAGGCCCAAATGAATTAAAACCAGGACCCAGAGACCTTCCCCACCAACAGAGAAAGAGTGCATCACTGAAGCCAAATGAATTAAAACATGGCCACAGGTCCACCCATACTTCAAGTTCCCCTCAGCTCCCATCAAATTAAACTAGTAGAATTTTTTTTTTAAATTTGAGAAGATATAAAGAAAAAAACATGAACTGAAGCTTAACATCAAGAAAACAGAGATCATCACTATTGGACCAATAGACAGAATCAAGATAGATGGAGAAAAGGTTGAAGTTGTTTATGACTTCACCTTGCTTAGATCCAAAACCAACACCGTTGGCACCAGCAGTTAGGAAATCAAAAGACAACTTGTAGTGGGAAAATCTGCTACAAATCAAGAATCTATTCAAAGTTATAACAATGGTGTCACTTTAGCGACTAAGATGCACCTGATGACAGCCATTGTCTTCTCAGTTGCTTGCTATGCATCTGAGAGCTGGATAATGAATAAAGATGACAGAAGAATGGATAGCTTTGAGTTGTAGTGCTGGAGAAGAGTACTGAACATACTATGGACGTCCAACAGGATAAACTAATATGTCTTGGAAGAGATGCAGCCAAGTTGCTTCTTGGAAACATGGATATTAAAACTCCGTCTCACTTAGTTTGGGCATGTTGTTAGAAGAGGCCAGTCCTTGGAAAAACACAGCATTTGGAAAGGTGGAAGGTCAGTGAAGAAGGAGAATACCCTCAAGGGGATGGGTTGACACATTGTAATAGAGGCTCCAGTATGTCAGAGATAATGAGGATAGCACAGGAAAGAGCAGGGTGCCGATCCACTGTTGATAGTATTATTATAAGTCATAGTCAGCTCAATGGCACTTTAAAAAAAAACAACAAACAAAAAACCACAACAGGGAGCTTTGGTGATCTAGTGGTAAGGCGTTGCTCCACCAACCCAAAAGCACAGGGTTTGAATCCACCAGCTGCTCTATAGGAGAAAAAGGAGCAATTTCTTCCTGAGCGATTAACAACCTCTGGAAACCCACTGTCAGATCTGAGTCGGCTTGACTCAAGGCACATAACAACAACAAAGACCATAAGACGAGCTCTCTCCCTCTTATTAGATGTATATTTTCCATTTACTGATTTTGTTGTTGTTAGGTGACTCATAATGAACTTATGAACAGCAGATTCAAACCCTGCCTATCCTGTGCCACACTCATCATCTCTGACACACTTGAATCTATTGCTATAAATCCACCTGGCAGAGAATCATCCTCTCCTTTGCCATCCATACACCTTTCCAAGTATGATGTCCTTCTCCAAGGAATAGACCCTCCTAACAACAAAATCTGTTTGTGCTTCTGGAAGTCCATGGGATATTCCATACTCTTCTTAAACATCACAGTTCAAAGGTGTCAATTCTGCCATCCTTATTCATTGTCCAGCTCTCATAGCAAGTGACTGAAAAGATCATCATGGTTTGGATCAGGCACACACCTTAGTCCTCAGACTGACAACACAATTCCTTAATAATTTGGAGAGGTCTCTCTCTGATGGCAGACTTTACATTGTATAATACATCTCCTGATATACTGATTGCTAGTACCAAGTAGATTGATTGTGGATCCAAGTAAGACAAAGTCATTGACAGTTTCAATCTTTTCTCCTTCTATCATTACTTTGTTTATGGGTCCAGTGGCAAGAATTTTTGTTTTCTTGATGTTAGATTACTTGAATCTTCTGCAGCAAGCCCTCCTCTTTCAGAAAGCAACCTTGTATCACCCGCAAACTGAAGTTACTCCTCTTAGAAATAACCGTACATATACCACACAAATTTTTTGGTGACAACTAAGTAAAAGAATATGTCAAGGTATTTTATAAAGTGATGACTCCAAGAAGGGGCAGTGAGGTTCAGTGGTCAGATTCTTACCTTCCAGGCAGGAGACCTGCCTTCAGCCCTATGTCAATGAACCTCAAGTGCCTCATCACTGATATGCCTGCAGAGCTCGTGAGCTGCTAGGACGCTGAACAGATTTCAGCAGAGCTGTGGAGGTAGAGGTGAAGCCTTGCCATCTGCTCCCCAAAACCCAGCCGGTGAAAACTTTGTGGATCACAACAATCATCCAGTTCATTCCAGTGTGCACTGTGGGAGTGGGGGAGTGAGGGTGGTTTTCCAGTGAGTTAGGGCCTGGCTTGACCACAACCAGAATCCAAGGAATTTTTTTTTTCCTTTCTACAACCAACATCATTGTAAAATGTGTATGTAGATCTCATCTCCTACCTGCAGGAATCTGACTTTTAGAACTAAAGGATCATTTCCTCTGCTTAACCTTTATCTTTGTCATTTAACCTTTATCTCTTGTCACTTTTGTCTCCTGAGATACTATCTTGATATCCATCTAAGACTGATCAATTAACACTTGGTTTCTAAATCCCCCCCCCTTCTCCCACAGAGCATCTGGTGGATTCAAACCACACACCTTGGGATTGGCAGCCCACCTCCTCACCACCAAGCCACTAGAGCTCCCTATCTGATAGAACTAGAGGGCCTGAAGTGACTGACCGCTCTCAGAGTTAGTTCTCTTGTAATCTTAGAATCCAGATGTAGGAAAGATATCTAGATTTCTAAATCACTTTGACATAAGCTTTTCTTTGCCAATGAAATGTTAGTTGCT